ACCTTGGCGGGACACCCTGACCAGACTCCTTACCGCTCTTCCCACTGTGACCGGCCGGCCGCAGGGCGAGGCGCCGGCAGCAGGGACAAGGGGCCCCTGCTGGCCTGCAAGGGCGTGCCGCCTCTGGGCGGGCAGAGGACAGGCTGTGAAGCAGCTGCAGATACCGAGGGCCAGAGCATAAAAGTACTCAATGAAAGGAAATGCTTTTAAATTTTCTGCTTTAATTTCTAACATGCTAAATATCTATACATATAATCCAAATAAGCTATGGCTCTTTAGGGTCTTTTATAACTTTTGTTTGTTTGTTTGTTTGTTTGTTTTTTGTTTTTTTTGAGACAGAGTCTCACTTTGTTGCCCAGGCTAGAGTGAGTGCCGTGGCGTCAGCCTAGCTCACAGCAGCCTCAAAGTCCTGGGCTCAAGCGATCCTTCTGCCTCAGCCTCCCGAGTAGCTGGGACTACAGGCATGCGCCACCATGCCCGGCTAATTTTTTGTATATATATATTAGTTGGCCAATTAATTTCTTTCTATTTATAGTAGAGACGGGGTCTTGCTCTTGCTCAGGCTGGTTTTGAACTCCTGACCTTGAGCAATCCGCCCGTCTCAGCCTCCCAAGGGCTAGGATTACAGGCGTGAGCCACCGCGCCCGGCCTCTTTTATAACTTTTAAAAGTGTAGTGAGCTCCTGAGACCAAAAAGAGAGACTTGCTCCCCCGTGGCACTGGCCCAGCACAGTCAGGTCTCTCTGTGGCACTGGGATTGCTCCTCAGCGTCACCTGGAGCATCTAAAGAGGGCCCTGCTACTGCCAGGTGTGGGCGGTGAGTCAGTCATCTGCCCCGCGTTCTGTCGCGGCTGGGCCCAGCAAGACAGACGCAGGAAGGCTGTCACTGAGTCCCCTGCCGATCTGCCAGTCACCCGTGAAGGGCAAACACGAACGGCAATGTGTTTCCAAAGGAGTCAGGGCTGGGCTGCAAAGGAAGGGAACATGCCCAGCTGCCCTGCACCCCTGCATCCTTAGAAAAAAAGGCCCAGAAGAGCCCCCTCCTCCAAGGCACAGGCGACTTTGCTAGAGAAGAGCAGTCAGGAGACTGCAGAGGGGCCTGGTGACACGCTACCCCGACGTCCACGCATCTCCTGTTCTCCCAGGAGCATGCCAAGGTGGCACCTTACCCCTCGTCCTGGAAAGCGGGCCACCGAAGGACGGCCAGAGCATCTGGAGGGCTGTGAGGACAGGGCACGCTGGGCCGGGTGCCCCCAGGGCACGGGGAGCCCAGGGGCTCCACAGACAGCACGCTGCCAGGGCCCCGCTCACCGCTGAGTGCAATCTTTGCCAAAGACCAATGCCCAGTTAGTTTGAATGAATTCCTGGCCATTTTGTAGCACCTGGCCATTTTGTAGCTGGACTGGTTGTGTCCAGGTATCACCCTTTCCTTTGCTTCTGGAGCAGTTTGAGCGTGCGTGTCCTCCCTGGGTGGCGGGCTGCACTCGTCACTGGAGGTCAGAAACCAGGTTCAGCCCCGCTCACGGCCGCGGCCTGCCACCAACAGGGCTGACCAGGACAGCTTCAAGGGAGCACATGGAAGCTCAGAGACCCTTTCAGAAGTCATTGGCCGTGCAGGCCGTGCAACCCGGAGAGGAGTCCTGACCCCCAGGGCCTGACCTGTCCCCCATCGAAGCCCCGATTGTTGCGGCACACGGCCCTCTTGGCTGGGGCGAGGCCCCGGACGCTTCCACTCAAGCTGGGGTCCTACATGGGGTCTGCACAGGCTGCCTGGAGGCCATTCCCGGGCCCGCTCATCATGCTCCAGCTGTCCGCCCAGCCCCGCCTGCCCCTCCCCACCCGCTCCGCAAGGACACTCTGGCCAAGCCTCCTTTCTAGAGCTCCTGCGCCAGTCTCCTTCCAGCTGGGGCAGTGCTCAGCACCCACGCCAACCACGAACACCCACACACCCCAGTTCTTTGGCACGGAAAAGACATCTTCTCGACGCTCCGTAAAGCGCTGCCACCACCACCCCCGCCGCGGCCACCGCGGGCCCTGAGAGCCACTCTCGACACCCACTTTTCTGGACATCCTGGGTGGCTGAGCCTCCTTCGCTCTGGAAGCCCGCGTGGGCTTTGCTGGTGCTCACAGCGCTCGCGCTGGCCCAGGCCCAGCCCTGGCCGGCCGCTGCCCGCCGCTGCCACCGCCCCACACACGGCTCCCGAGGAGGCCAGGGCAGCCGGCCTTGGCTCCACTGCCCAGTGTGATCCAGGGGCTGCCTGCTCATAAATTCACTCCAGATACCTTTTGAGGGGTGGGTCAGACACAGGCCTGTCCCCAGGTACCCAGGCCAGTCCACAGCCAACCCTAATCCAGGCCACCTCCTTGAAACTCTGTGATCACTCATTAACCGACCCCTCCCACTCCGCCCTTACCCCTCGGCCCAGTCCCTTTGCAGCAGCCCGGGAACTGTGGGAAATGCACACCGTGAGCCGCTCCTTTGTGCTCACCCATGACCACGGGAGGCCGCGCCTAGGCCGCCCTGCTGTTGTGGGAAGAGGAGAGACACGCAGCGGTCTGGGCACTGGCTGCACCCGCCCGCATCAGCCAAACTCCAGCTGGCCCCAGGTCACACGAGCAAGCCCAGCTGAGAGCAGCAGAGTCAACCGGCCCAGCCCAGCAATACCGGCCAACCCCCTTAACCCCAAGACATGTGAGCAAGCCAGGTGGACACCAGCGGGGCTGCCCTACAGGAGCTGCCACAGAGCCCAGCTGACATCAGCTGATGCCAAAGGGAGCCCAGCAAAAGTCAGCAGAGCCACCCAGCTGAGGCCTTCCAGCCCAAACCAGCCAAGCCCCGGGGCACCCAGGCGCCTGCTCAACAAGCCTGAGCTGCTCGCTCTGCCCGACAAGCCGGGCCCCAGGGCCCAGCACCCGGCCCCACGTTGCAGAGGAGTGCAGGTGGCCCCCTGCATCTCTCTGAGCAGCCGTGTCCTGAGGACTTCTGCGCCATCAAACACTCGGTGCAGGAAAAATTTGATTGTCTTGTTCATAGTGGGACAGCACATTCTTGACATGTGAACACTGAGCGTTCATTTACTTCTTATTCCTTCGTTTTGGGGACTGAACTCTGATCTTTTTCTTTTGTTAAAAGCTCCTTCCTAAGGAGCCCAGCTGGGTCAGGCTGACAAAAGCTAAACTCCCACCAAGCGGCTTTTGTTAACCAAATAAAGCGGTGGTTTACTTCCCAACCTGATTCTGCTGTGGTATTAACATCACCTAAAAGATAAGAAGCCCCTGTCTTAACTCAAGCATCCTAGCAGATACCTGTCATAAATTTAAAATATATTAACTCAAGCATCCTAGCAGGTGCTTATCCATAAATTTAAAGCATCTTAGCAGGCGCCTATTATAAATTTAAAATGTCCTCCTATCTGGACCTCTCAGAGTGCTCACACCCTTATCTTAAGATAAGCATATCCTTTCTGGTCTTCTAGATGAAGTCTAACTCTCAGCCAATTGCCAGCCAAAGAATCTTTAAACCCACCTATAATCTGTAAGCCCCCGCTTCGAGATGTCCCTCCATTTTGGGCCAAACCAATGTGTGCCTCTCATGTATTGATTTGTGACTTTGCCTGTAACCTTTGTCCCTCTGAAAATGTATAAAACTGAACTGTAACCCAGCCACAGCAAGCCCACTTGACCAAGGCCTCTTGGCAGTGGCTCTGGGTATGGTCCTCAAATTTGGCTCAGAATAAATCTCTTTAAAATTATTTACAGAGTTTGGCTTTTTTCCATTGACAAAGGTAAAAATGCAAATGTGCCTATGTTAGGGACCGACCTTCCACAGCCCCGCCGGACAGAAAAGCAGAGACATCGAGGATGTAGTTACACAAGAGGAGGTTTATTCTCTGGCTAGCCAGGGTCCAAGCCCTAGAGCACCAACGCAGTGGCCACTCTTGCAGGCAACGACCCCGACCGGGGTTGCAGCGTGCCTTTTATCCCTATGGTGCACACGCTATGCAGTGGCTGATCACGCGTGGATCATGCATTGACCTTTAACATGATTGGTTGGCTGGCAGCCCCACTATACAGGGGTCCGAACAATGCAAAGTTGGTGCAATCAAGCAAGCAAGCAACGGTTTCCATGGCAAGCAAGCAACAGTTTCCAGAAGCCGGATGTTAGTTCCGGCTTCACTGGGGTGTGGGCCTTGCAGGTATGCAATGTCTCGACCCCTCACACCTAAGTGTCAGCAAATTAGAATAAATAAAACACCAAGTAGAGCAAAAAACCAAATTTAATCGTCAAAGGTGTATAAAAAACATTTTGGTTTTTGTCTTTTAATCCTAACTGCAGATATAGTTTACTTCCACTGATTCAATGCCTGTAGAGAGGTACACAAGGTGTGTCTGACTCACTATCATCTAATATTAACAGTAATGTTAGAGATTCAAAGTTGTCCCAAAAGTTGTAAAGAACTTAAATTGAAAGCTTTAGTTTTATCTTGGTCTTGTCCATTTTTGTCCTACTCTTTACAATCTATCTGGTTATGAGTACATTATGTTACTGTAACAGAGTTTTTGCCTAGAAAAAAATTTCTAAATTATTAATTTTTATATAGCAGTTTATTTTAAGATAAAAAGTGAATGATGGTTAAAATCCATGAGAATCTCAAAGTAATCTTACTCTATAAATGTGCTCAAGTTTATGCACTAAAAATTGTTTTGAGACCATTTAGATTGTTTTTCTTAAAACAGCTTAATCTTGGCTGGGCACGGTGGCTCACGCCTGTAATCCTAGCACTCTGGGAGGCCAAGGCTGGCGAATTGCTTGAGGTCAGGAGTTCGAAACCAGCCTGAGCAAGAGCGAGACCCCGTCTCTACTATAAATAGAAAGGAATTAATTGGCCAACTAATATATATAGAAAAAATGAGCCAGGCGTGGCGGCGCATGTCTGTAGTCCCAGCTACTTGGGAGGCTGAGGCAGGAGGATCCCTTGAGCCCAGGAGATTGAGGTTGCTGTGAGCTAGGCTGATGCCATGGCACTCACTCAAGCCTGGGCAACAAAGTGAGACTCAAAAAAAAAAATTTCCTAGTCTGCCCCAAAATATCTTCTGGGTGTTTTTTCATACAGAATCTTATTTAATCTAGAATAGTCTCTGCCTTTTTTTTTTTCATGACATTGATCTTTTTTGAAATGTCTAAGCCAGTTATTTTATAGAAAGTCCCACATTCTGGATTTATTTGGTTGTTTCCTCATGATTAGATTCAACTTAAACACCTTGGGCAGGAATTCTACCTAGATGGCACGTTAACTACTTTTCAGTGACTGTGTAATGTTCTGTAGAAGGGATGCACCCATGATCCACAGTTTCCCGCACTGCAGGGTGGGGACGTTACCGCCTTCTCCGCATCCACCAGAATTTACACTGTTTCCTTCATAATTCCAGCGTCCTGGGATTACTAGACAAAGGGTGGTTACTTTTTTCACTCTTGACATATATTTTCATATCACTTTTCAAAGTTTATATCAGTTCATAGTGGTGGTAGATTGCATGTCATCTGTTCTCTTTCATTCTCTCCTGAGAGTTGAGATTGTGAAATAAATCTTCAGGCATTTTAATTTCTGTTGTGACTTCGCTGAGCCCGGAGTGGCGGGTGGTGCGGCCGCTGGGGCGCGGCTGGTGCTGGAGTGGACCTCCTCACTCCGCTCTGCTGGCCACGTCGCTTTCCTCTGGTCTCTTACTTCCAAAGTCACATCACCAACTTTGACCCCTATTCAAAAATATGTTATTTAATGCAAAGTTGGAACATCTTCCCAGTTATTGCCTTAATCATTGGTAGCATCTATCCAGTACTGGCCACACATGGTGTCCCTCACAGCAGCCCTGTGAGGGTGGTTATGTGACCGCCCTCATCTTACGGGATGGAAATCCGAGGTGCAGACGCTGAAGCGTTGCCTGCCCTCACTCGTCAGAGTCAGGGTCCACACCTGGCCATTCAAACTCCAAACCCACACGCTTGTCACTAAGGCAGGTGAGAAAATCGCTTTGTATCAGGGTGCCAAGTCAGGGATGCACATTTCAGAGAACGCTGGCGCAGGCCCTGCGCCTCTGGCCAGGGGCGCCAGTCCCGGCGAGCGCGGTGCTCCAGGGAGCGGCTGGGAGGCGCGGTTCTTGCATGTAAGCAACGCAGGGATGACATCGTCTTCATCACGAGCTACGATGGCACCACTGCACTCCAGCCTGGGCAACGGAGTGAGACTCCGCCCCCGAAAAAAAATAGAAAGAAAGAGAAATGAGGCAAAAAAACAGGTCAGATTACTGGTGGCCCTCCCACTCAGGGAGTTTATAATTTATTCTAAGGGCAGTGGGGAGCCCGTTCACAGGTTCTTGACAGGACAATCTCAAAGGTCAGGACTCACATTTCAGAATCAGCCTGACTGGCCCTGGCTGCAGCCACAGGAGAGAAGTGGGGAGGAGTAGTGGAGGGACAACCCCAGGTAGAAGTTCATCCTGCAGACGGGCCAGGCGGAGCCTCCCACCCTGCGTTCCCACGGCTGCCCTGAACACCCCATCCAGGTCTCAAGGGCCACCCAGGCCCACAGAAGGCGGAGCTAAGTTTCTGGCCTTCCTGTGCCCATGGCGGCGTGTGGCCACCCAGGTACCAAGTCCACAGGCACCTGCCCAGACAGCCACCAAGGCCGCCCAGGTAGCCTCTCCACCCCAGCCCCCATGGCTGTGAGGGACAATCTGAGTATCCTGCCTGAGGTGGGTTGGTTCTGCATTGAAAGCATGGCTGCTGCTGGGAGGAAATGGGCTGGGCAGGTGGCCTGAAAGGCATCCACCACGAGTGCCACATCAACACTGTGCTGTGTTTGACTTGTGAAAACAGCAAAAAGGGAACAGAGCTGTAGCGTTTGTTGCTTCTGTCCTGAGTGTTAACTGACTCTGCTGGGGCAGAATTGGCTCGTCAGTCACTTTCACAGGAGACTAGCCTCATCATTTTGATTGTGACATGAGGAATGTCACTCGGGAAATTCTAACATTAACATTAAATCACTTCCTAACATGTTGGTTAAAAACTTTTTTACTTTTCAAAATATGAAAAAGTACCTGAAAAAGTTTTCAGAAGCTGGGATGTTCCATTTTCAGAAACACCACCACATTCCTTAGGAAAAAGATATAAGAAGAAAGAAATATCAATACAAGAATGGAAGAGCAATTAAAAAAAAATTACTCAGGAAGAAAATAGCTGGCCAGGTGTGGTAGCAACACCTATACTCCTAGCACTCGGGGAGGCCAAGGTGGGAGGATGGCTTGAGGCCAGGAGTTTGAGACCAGCCTGAGCAAGAGCAAGAGCCATCTCTACTGAAAATAGAAAAATTAGCCTAGTGTGGTGGTGTGTGCCTGTAGTCCCAGCCACTGGGGAGGCTGAGGCAGGAGGATCACTTGAGCCCAGGTATTTGAGGTTGTAGTGAGCTATGACAATGCCACTGCACTCCACCAAGGGTGACAAAGCAAGACCCTGTCTCAAAAATAGAATTAAAAAATGGCTGGCGTGGTGGCTCACATCTGTAATCCTAGCACTCTGGGAGGCCCAGGCAGGCCCAGGATCACTCAAGGTCAGGAGTTCAAAACCAGCCTGAGCAAGAGCAAGACCCCGTCTCTACTACAAATAGAAGGAAATTAATTGGCCAACTAAAAATATATAGAAAAAATTAGCCGGGCATGGTGGCGCATGCCTGTAGTCCCAGCTACTCGGGAGGCTGAGGCAGGAGGATCGCTTGAGCCCAGGAGTTTTGAGGTTGCTGTGAGCTAGGCTGATTCCATGGCACTCTAGCCCGGGCAAAACAGAGTGAGACTCTGTCTCAAAAAATAAATAAATAAATAAATAAATAAAATAAAAAGAAAGAAAGAAAGAAAATAGCTTTAAAAAGGAACATATTATTGTTTTCCTTCTTCAGCATGCATCACTTCACAAGCTGCTGCCAGGGCAGGGCAGGGAGCTGCAGCTCACTACTTGCATGGCATGGCTTTGTGTGTCCCAGTATGCACTTTGGAAGTGTTCTCAGAGCCAGTGTCACAGAACGCACACTGCCGTGCACCGTGAGTGTCCCCCGCCGGCCCTCGCTGCCACAGGGCCAGGCGTGCCCCTCTGCGAGATGCGCACGTGAGGAAGCGCGCACCGCTCCCTCCTCCGCGTCTGGACTGGCCCCTCTCTGATGAGCAGCAGGATGTGACTGAGTGCCGATCAGAGAACGGGAGGCGCCCTGCGTGTCTGTCCACGTCACAAACTGCCACAAAGCAAGACGACGAAAGAGCAGCGGGCAAAGTGCTAAGTTTCTCGCTAGCTCACAGGGAAGAATTAGAATTCCTGAGGGATAATCTTGTACATGCAGATGAAATCATTTCTCCCTACACGAATAGCCTGAAAACGTAGCAGAGTCAAAATAAAGCTGTCATGGGAATGCGATTTAGGCCTAAAATTCCTCCCAAAGCGAGTGAAGAAGGGAAGACTCCTCTACGCCACCGCCTCATGTTTTCGCTCCTGGCAGCCAGGTACATTTTCCCTTCCGTTCTTTTCTTAAAGAGTAAGACTACCAAGAACGGCACGTGCTTGTGTCAGAGAATGTCCTTGTGTTTAGGACATGCTGCTGAAGTGTTCAGGAGGAAGTGACATCTGCAAGTGATTTTCAAATGGTTCACACGCATGCACATACGTGTAGGAGCATGTCCATGCACACACACGCATGCACGCAGAGTGAGAGACTGGGCAGAGATGGCCAAATGTCAGCGAGTCAGCAGCAGCTCTGGATGAGGCAGAAACAGATGTTTGTTGTATTATTCTGTCAACTTTTCTTTAGGTTTACAATATTTCAAAGTTAAATTTGTGGGGATAAAAACCTAAAAATGAATCCCACAATTCCAGGATTATCTCTGTTCATAGAAGCCAGCCTTTAAGTCCATCCTCCTGTGTCTTTCTGGGCTACCCACCTTCTGGAAACTTCCACAGCTGCAACTTTTGAGAAATCAAAATGCAGGTGAGAGACGGATGATCTGAGTCCCCTCAGGCTCCAGCCCCCCGTGGCATCCCAGCACGATGTGGGAACCCCTCTGGGTGGCTTCCTGGCCGCTCTTGAGTGCTCCTTGGCATGGCTGGAGCCGTCCTGCCCTCGAGAATGCCATGGCTTAGAGAGAACACTAGGGTGTGGACTACCATTGACCGGACGCTGGCCTGGGACAGCCAGCTGAGCAGCCCCATCTAGTGAGGGGACTGAGCAGGGAGTGACACACCCACCCCATGGGCTTGGCACCCCACCCCTCTGCTCTGAGGGCTTGGGTCCTCGGCAGTGAGAGCCGCGGCCAGTGGCGGGTGGCGGGCGGGAGCGTGAGCTCTGGGGCAGACAGCAGGAGGTGCTCGGTGGGCACCTCTTGTGTGCATGGACCGCTTGATTCAAGCCTAGACCTGCCACCTGCCATCACTGTGATCTGAGTGAGCTATTTAATATCTCTGAGCCTGTTTTCTTATCTGAAAATTGGGTGTAAGAATAGCATTTCGAGGACTATTGTAAAGATTGCGGGAGAGAAAGAACACCAGAGTCCCTGGAATATAGTAAGCCCGTGCTAAAAAGCAACTGCCCCTCAGTTTGGTTGTCCTAAACTAAATGGGGGTGGGTAAGTCCAGCCAGAGGGGCACCCCAGAAAAGGCATTTAAGGGGGAAGCTTTGCGTGGGTCTCTGGGGAGGAGAGGGAAGGTGCCCGTGCAATGTCTCCAGAGACTCAGGGAGACAACACAAGATGGATGCGAGTGGAGCGGGGGCTGGGGGGCTTCTCCCCCGCCCCTCCCCCCACCACACCAGGCAGAGCTCCCTGATCCCTGCCTGAGGGTGCCGCCGCGTGGGGCACTGTAACCTGGGCTACGCAAGCAGCCAGCAGAGGTGCCCTCAACAAGGGATCAAGAGAACAGTAGCCCCGAGCGGGTCTCCAGGCGAGCGTGAGTCCTGGGGACAAGGACGGGAAAGGCCAATGCCCTCAGTGAGGGGCTCTGAGCAGTGAAGGCTGGGGCCCGGTGTGACAGGACCAACCCCCACCCAGAGGTGGGAGGGCTGCAGCAGTCCAGCACATAGGCTCCGGCCAACGACAAAACGTAGGAATTGTGGCTGCCAAACCTGTGAAGAGCACGATGCCGGCAGAGTCATTCCATGTCTGAGTGAACAGCACCAGGACACGAGATGATCTGATAGGCGGAACAACAGGCTAAACCAGCAAAGAAAAAATCTGGCAGGGTAGGGAGCGCTGGAGACGGCAGGTCCTAGCGAGGAATGGCAGGAGCGTGAATTTTTCTTAAGCTATCGGTCTGGGGGCACCTGAGCAGAAGCTTACTACCAATTTGTGGTGTCACATGGTAGGAAAAGATGGGTGGAAAGGGGAACAGGAAGCGTGGGGCCTCAGAGGGGTAATGGGCGTTTGCTTGTAGCTGTGTATGTAGAGTGTGGCTGGTCTTTGTCCCCAGTTCCTGGGAGGTCACCTCTCAACCTTACTATTCACAGTGGGTCCCTTGGGCCACACTGATGGTTCATGCCTATAGGGTGACTGGGCAGGCCAGAAAGACCAGCCGTCTAAGTAGAGGGCTGGGGCTTTGAGGTGTCAGCCTGACCTCGGGCCAAGGAGCAGGGCTGGAGATTGAGTCCTGTGTGCACTGATTCAACCCACCATGCGTGTGTCATAAAACCCCAGTAAGAGCTCTAGAATCAAGGCGCAGGTGAGGTTCCCTGCTTGGCAACATTCTGCCTATTGTTGTTGCCTAGAAGACAATGAGTGCCTGGGAACGATATTTGGGACTATCCCAGACTTCATCTCTCTTTGGCTGATTCTGATTCGTATTTTTGTGTTATAATAAAACTGTCATTCTAAGTATAGGGCTTTTCTGAGTTCTGTGAGTCGTTCTAGCAAATTATGGAACCTGAGAGGGTGGTGGGAATGAATGCTGGAATTTGTAGCCAGTTGATTAGAAGTGAGAGTGGCCTGGGGGCTCCCAGACCTGGGGCTGGGATCTGCAGTAAGGGCAGTCTCATGGGAGGCTGTGCCCTTTCCCCATGAAGTGTGGCCCAGGGTCACTGCAGTGGTGCCTGCTGGTCTCCTGCCAGGGCTGTCTCCCTGACAGCTTGAGGCAGACCGACTGCTACCCAAGCCCGCTCCCAGGCACAGCCACGTGGAGGCACAGCTGAGCTGGGTCGGCCCAAGCTGTAAGGACGCAGGGATGGACGCCATGAGTGCTAGGGCCACCAGGGCAGCAGCTGCAGAGGCCCTGGCAGGAGGAGAGATGCGCAGGCAGGGGAAGGAGGGAGGCTCAGAGAGAGGTGGGAGGTGCAGGCATTCATGACTGCGAGGACGGCTCGAGAGTCTCAGGAGCAGAGTGAGGTAGTCACTTGATGCAGTCCTGCAACTTCCTGTCGGTGGGAAGCCAGGATGCAAACCCAGCCGGCGCACATGCTTCCCACAGATTGTCTCGTGTGACCTGGACTCTGCTGCCTCTGCATTCTCCCCTGTACACGGGCCCCGTAATGGTGCTCGTGGTTCCAGTCCTCTGTTCCCTTAAGGCTTCCAGGCACCACACCAAACTGGGGTGTGGGACTCAGACCACTGCCATGCCCGCATAAGTAATCCCCTGCAAATATAGTATCGAGTGGCTGTTTGTGCAGGCTGCTTCCTTAAAAAATGTGGGGCAGAGGTACCCTTTACTGAGGCTCAGCTATGTGCCAGAGGCTTTGCGTGCCTTGTCTTGTTTAATCCTCAGCAAGCAGACTAGCTGCTGCTACTGTCCCAGTTTTTACACAAAGACCCCAGGGTCCTGGAGTGTTTGCCAAGGTCAAGCGCTGGCCAACACTGGGTCTGGACGGGCCCTAACCCTGTCTATCTGCACCCAATGCTCAGAGGCAGGGCGGGAGGTGAAAGAAGTGACCAGGGACATGCCATCTGGCTGTGATATTCAGGACAATAGTGAGGGGACACTCGGGACTCTGGGGCTGGGCCCAGGGTGCAGACGCCGAGTACGCACCGTGCTCTCTGCACCAGCCTCTTGGGGCAAGCGGCCCGCCGCTGTGTGCCCGAGCCCGAGCCTCTCAGACCATCTATTTGTGGAAGCTGCTTCCACACCCTGGGGGAGGGTGTCGCTGACCTTGCTCTATCTCTACCAAAAGCTCAAACACTTTGTTTTCTTTCCAAAAACTTAGTTTTTAAAGAAATACATTCCGGCTGGATTTCCTCTCACATAAAAGGCAATTTCAAGCGTCCTCAGGGGTCTCCCGGGGTGCCTTGACATCACACCCATAGCAGCCCACGTGCATTGTCCCGCATGGGACACACATGACTCAAACGTGAGGGCACCAGGAGAGATCTAGGAAGCGATGTGGTAATCCTAGGTTTTCACTAAGGCTGTAATTTAGAAATCCATGTGTGGTGAAACTAGGGCAACCACCTACCACATATCTGACACTTTAAAAGCCCACGCAGGGTCAGGGGAGTGCCGGCTGTGGTGCCGTCACCCTGCCCGACAGCTGACAGGGCTCCCTCCATGGTGGGCACTTTCCCTGGAGTTCCGCTCCCACTGTCCACATCCACGCAGCGGCCAAGCGGACTGGCTCCCCGCAGACAGTCACGACGAAATGAGCCCCTTGAGTTCCATTGGAAGGCGTTTGTTATATAAGAGCTGAATTATAAATCACAGCCTTCGTTTGAAACAAAGCACTTGGCAGCAACTAAATCCCCTCCTCTACGCTGCACCCCGAGAGATACCTGGCGTGGTGCTCTGGGCGGGTCACTGTGGGCCACCTCGAGGCCGGCCTGTCAGGAGCATTCGGGCCCAGGCTGCCCTGCCCTCATCTGTGTCTTCCCAGAGGGCATCCTGTGTGGAAAACCGGGGCTGTTTTTCTCCTCATTCCTTATGTTTCCATGACAGAAAATATTGCGCCGAGAAGGAGGAATACAATAGAGCGACCAGAGCAAAAAAAATGCCCAGAACGAAAGACATTCCGAGTATTTCTAAAGTGAAGGCACGGCTTCTGTTCGCAGCGATATGGCAGACTGGGGCAGGAAGCCCTTCCCACACAAGACACCTCGACATTCCAGATAAAATGTAAGTGTCCTTCTAAATGCATGGATGAGTCCACAGAAAAGTAAAAAGAAAGACTGAGGGCCAAATATCTCAGGGTGCGCTTGATTTCTATCACTGCTGTAACAAGCCACACCTGAGTGGCCTGTGACAGCGCCAATTGTTGTCTTGCAGTTCCGAGGCAGGCGCACAGCGCTGCTCTCAGTGGGCAGCATCCCTAGGGGAGAAACTGTCTCCGTCGCTTTTCCTGCTTCTAGAGCCACCCCTACCCCCGTTCCTTGGCTGCTGGCCCTTCCCCCACTGTCAAAGCCACACAGCACATCTCTGACCTCTCTTCTGCAGTCACAGCTCCCTGAGTAATCATCCAATCTTCAAGGCAGCCTATCAGCAACTGTAATTTCATCTGCCATCACAATGCGCCTCTGCATGTCATCTAGCATATTCCTGGGTTCTGGAGACCAGGATGTGGACATCTTTGGGATGGGAAATCTCTACCACAGAGAGGAAACGGAAAACCAAAAACATAAGTGGGGCTGACACTCTGGCTACCTTGGGTGGGAGGTCAGCAGCTTCCAAAGGGCTTGCGATTCACTAACCACGAAGGCAACTCCCCTTCGGCACAGAGAAGGGGAGTTAGAAGTGCGCCTGCAAAGGCAGGAGCTTCAATAGCTGTGCTCTCAGAGCATAAGAAAAAGCTGCCCATTGGCAAAAAGAGGCCACAAAGGAGTGCGTCTACCTTAGATCGTCTCAAAATGTTCCCACGTGAAAACACAGCCACGGCCTGCCTTCATGCATTGTCTAGGAATCCCACTGTTAAGAAATAATAAGAAAATAGCTGTTCCAAGCCGTTAATGCCCCTGAAGTGTGTGGCAAAAGCAAATCCAAAGCTTCTTTAGAGGAATACATCCTCAGTCTGGGCTGCACATGTTCTACAAATGAAGTGCCACCAACAGGGACACATACCCCAGACCACAAAGCGAGTGAGGAATCAAGCCATTGCTAGCAAGAGTAAGAAGAGACATTGAGCTGACAAACTAGACTCCTAAGGACCCCAAAGAGTAGAACAAACAGATACAGATTATAAAATAATTATGTTTTAATTATTAAGAATAAAAGAAGGGATCGAAGCATTATGAAGGAGCAAGGTAATATTAAGATAAGGACCAGGCATGTTTGAAAATGAACCACATAGTGTTTATAGAATTGAAAACAATGATTATTGAAATGAAAAGCTCAATGGACATGTTTAATAGCAGATAAAACACAGTTGAAAAGAGCAATAGTGAACTAGAAAATAAGACTAAAGAAATTTTCCAGAATGCCACTCAGGAGACATAAAGAGATGAAAATTTTGAAAGGAAAGGTAAGAGTAATAGAATGAAGAATGAGAAGATCCAGCTTCTGTTTAGTAGAAGCTGCTGAAGGAGTACACGGAGAGGATGGGAGAAAAGCAATATTCAAGGAAATAATAGTTGAGAATTTTTCAGAATTGATGAAGGATATGAGTCTTCCAAATCAGGGAGTATTATGAGCTATAAGTAAGATAAGTAAAAGTAATGAACTTGGAGAGCTTCAAGACTAAGAATAAGGACAGCCAGAGAGAAGTGGACAAATTGCCTGGAAAGAGTCGACTGACCCCGGACTTCTCAATAGCAGTAACCAAAGCCTAGGGACACCAGAATAGTATCTTTAAAGTGCTGAGAGAAAATAATCACCAATAGAGAATTTTGTAGTCAGCTAAATTATTCAAGAATGAAGGTGACCTCTAGATCTGGCTACAAATATACAGGAAAAACAGGGATGGAAGAACATGCTAAATGCTACCATAGAAATGACATAAGCAGCATTCAGCTTATGGGAAATTCCAGAGGACAAACAACTCAGTTTATTCAACAAATAAATTGCAGGGAATTTTTTTTTAAGAGAAAGAGAGAGAAAAAAAAGAGGGAGAGAAGAACCCTAAAAGATAGGTGATGTTATTATATTTTTTAAAAAAAGAATCCATATGTTTTAGTGATATATACTGAACTGTTAATAGATATGATGATACGATGTGTGGTGTTTGCTTCAAAATAACCCAGTAAGTGGATATATCAATGAAACTAGACTGGCCTTGAGCGATAAAAATTTTTGAGATTGGATATATGAGGGGGCTCATTATTCTAGTTTTGTGGTTGTTTGAAGTTTTCCTCAATATAACAAAAATAATAGTAGTTCTAATAAATAGTTGCAAGGTTTCTTCCAAGGATATGCGTAAGTCGATGGTGCTGTATAAAGACAATGAAACATGATAGAGTTAAAATTAAATAAACAGAATGTGATGCACACCAACTGGGGGATGGACACGCTTGAAGCTCTGACTCAAGAGAGGATGGGGCAATATACATAACCTTAACATTTGTACCCCCACAATATGCTGGAAAAAATATATTTAAAAAATTAATGAAATAATTAAATAAACAGATCTACATGTAGCAGGAATAAATCACTTAAAACAAAGTTGAGAGAAAAAAGCAGGTTGTGGAATGACATAGCATGACTCATTAACCACTTCGAGACCAGCGTCGACTATAGTCGACAGCCACAGATGAACGCACACAGTGACTTTAGCCGACAGCCGTGATATGACTTTTCTAATTTTTCATTTATCAAAACAAAATTGTGAACATTTAAAAATAACATATTCAAACATATATATGTGTGTGTGTGTGTATATATATATATATATTACCTATTCTGATTTACATTACGAGAAAAGCTGCCTATAAAGTAAAACAAGCTTTCAGTGCTTTCAAGCTTTCCTCACACAAGAGAAAAACGGATCCGTCGTCCATGCACAGCACAGACTATCATGCGGACCGTGAGTGCCGGCAGTGGGCAAGGTTTCGTGGCCGGTGAGCGCCGTACCAAAGTGGTTAAATAAAATACAAATACATGGAAAAAATGAGCATGGAATAAGGACATTTCCAGGCAAAAGCTGAATTTACCACCAACAAATTATTATTGATAGAGCTTTTAAATGACATACATCAGAAAGAAAGAAATTAAAACCAGAAGGAAGATCTGAGATGCAAGAAATAAATGGATGACAAAGAGGTAAATATGTGGGTAAATCTAAGTCAGTGTTTACTACACAAAATAATAATTATCATGACTAACATGGAGGGTAGGAGAGGGGGAACTAAAATACAGACAACAAAGGCACATGAGATAGAGCAGGTGGTCAGAGCTCAACTTTGCTCAAGTTCTTATATTTCAAGAAAAAATTGTGAACTAAAATAAAATTTTAAGGCTCACTGCCCCCAACCCAGCTGACTGAATGGACCCCCTCGTACCCAAAAGAATATCCTAAAACTAAATTGCCTGCCAGGAGGAGGGAGGTCAGACATGCCTCATCATGCCCCCTCCCTTCTTGGAGACTTCCTTTGTAACCCATTAACAGGCCTAAGGGTTTGCAAGACATACCTGCAGGTCCTCTACCCAACAAATCTGTCTGGTGGCTTGTCTCTGATAACAGCTCATTATGTTGAAACATTCCAAGCCTTTAGACAAAGCTTCATGTCTTTAACCAATTACAAGCCAAAGAATCTTTAAACCCACCTATAACCTGTAAGCCGCCACCCCGCTTTCAAGATGTCCCACCTTTCCAGGCCGAACCAACTCCGGGCCAAACCAATCTATGTCTGCCACGTATTGATTTTGACTTCACCTGTAACCCGTCTCCCTGAAATGTATAAAACCAAACTGTATCCCAGCCACAGCGAGTCCACTTGCCCAAGGCTTCTTGGGCATGGCTCCGGGTCATGATCCTCAAATTTGGCTCAGAGTAAATCTCTTTAAAATTGTTTTACAGAGTTTGAAGTTTTTTCTTGTTGACAAAAGAAATACAGATTAATTTCAGACTTTGTTAAGAATGTGTGGTAAAATTTAAGGGGTCATCATTAAAACAGTAGAAATAGAATGTGTCATTTCCGAGCCAGTAGGAGGGGACAGGAAAGAACACTTGATCAAATCAAAAAGAAGTACGAAAAAGAGAATCAAAAAAAGAAGAAAAGGATACATAGAAAGTATAAGGTTTTCTGGCAGTGATCCGCCCGCCTCGGCCTCCCAGAGTGCTAGGATTACAGGCGTGAGCCACCACGCCCGGCCTCATTGTCATATCCTTTAACAAAAATGGCATGTGAAAAGTATATCATTTCTATTTTACTTAAGAGTTATTTTGCAGAATGACTTAATAGAGGGAAAAAAGATGTACCATATATATTAGTATGAAAGTGATTTTTGGATAAGGATTGTGTAAAAAGAATCACGGAACTGGGGACAAGATGTTTCAGGCATGACGGCAAGGAGAGAATGTTATAAAACCATGGTTTTCCTCTTGGTGCGGAAAGTAAGTAGCATGAAAGGCAACAGAACTTAGCAGGACCCGACATCCCGGGAGCCACGGCCTCGCCTGGAGCCGGAAGCCCAGCACACGCACCACAGGGGCACAGTTCCAGTTTGAATACTTAAAATTCCACTATGAAGACAAAAACATGATCTTATCTCTGGGATGCCTGTGTATATATTTATTTCTCCTTGAAATAAAAATGTTCTAAAGTTGCACTGTTTAATTCATTTTTTTCAACTTAGGCAACACAATTTTACATAGTCATATTTCCAGTTTTTATACATCTGCTTAGTATTTAAATTTGGTTAGAAAATGTGGTTATTCTTGATTTCACCGAAGCTTTATTTTTTATTGATTATTTCTTTCAAAGAAAAATATTCAACTTCGTTAGGCACTAAGACTAGAAAAACAAGCATTAGTTGTGGAGAGAAAAATAAGAATATGGCCCCTATAATTTTGAGCCCTGCTACAGGGACCTAAATTTGGTGCTCAGGATAAAATGTTGTCTGTGATGTTTTCTTCCCATAATTACGTATTACAGAGACTCTTTAATGTTCCCTCTTCAAATTAGAAACAATACATTGAAACTATCTCTTAACATAGAGCCCTGATGCCAGCATTAGAGAACATATATTCAAGAACTGAATTTGTAAGTAAACCACCATTTCCCTGTGCAATGCATAGATACTACCAGTCACTAAATATTGAGTCTGGCACAGTGTATGAAGCATGAGAATTCAGTGCCACTGGTTTTTAAACAGTTGTTTGCCCAATTAAAGGCAACTTCTGGTATGCAAAAGTAAAACAGCTATCTTTTTATGTCACTGTGCATAAGAATGCGGGAGCGTCCCAGAAGCTGGGAGGCCGGTCCATAGCAAGACAGCTCTACAGCGAGCACTTCCCTCCTCTGCAGTGCTCGTGTCCAAGAGCTGGCTCTGCTGCGTCATAGGCCCGGGTTTCAGACCCACACTTACTTTCTGTTAACAAAACGCACGTGGATGGGCGCCCCCCGCTTCAGCAGCCCATGGGTTTTTGCATGAACAGCTTTAGTCTGGGAAGATGTTTTGATCTCAAAATGTTGAAGCAGCTATGAAGAGAAATAGAGACAAGGATTCAGATTAGGAACAGCAGAAAATTCATGGTGCTCCTGAACATGTTTACTCCTCCTACATGGCCCCAGGCAGCAGGAGCCCCAACAATGAGCACCCACGTGGAGCTTGGAGGCCGCTGAACTGCTCGGCCAGTGGATGCCCACCATTTGGAAACAGAACTTTAGATCCTGTAAAGAGCCTGGCATGTCCACCGAGCAACTGCGAAGCCAGTGTGACCGAGAGGTAGGCAGCGTGCCCAAATGGCTTAGGTTTCATTGGCCATTTCAGAATTCTAACTCTGCTGCTTCTATGTTAGGTCTAGATAAACACGGTATCAAAGGAGCAAGGAGAGACAGGAACAAAGTGAAACTCCAGGTTTCCTGCGGTTCAGAATCTGCAGCCACTTCAGACGTGGAATAGACACAGCGGCGGGAGAGCTGAGTCACGGAACAGACGTCATCACGCTAATATCCTGAACTTAAACATCCCTGATTTGTACCTTTGATTCCATTTCTCATTTCTACAGTTCAAAAGCAGAACCCTCCCTGGGTCCCAGAGTAAAACTGGAAAGTACCTAAACACTGAGTCTGCAAGAACACCCAGGTATCCATCACCCTACTGGCCAGGGCCAGATGCTCAGTCAGCCCAGCGAACAAAGCCAACCTGCTCTACAGATTTCTGCCAACACACAGACTCCTGGAGGCAAGGAAGGGCCTTGCTTTCAGCCCATTCAGACGGTGCAGGAGGGAGATGAGCCATCCGTGGGCTCCTACCTGTGGCCCAGCGACCCCGCCCGGCTGCCCCGCCCTGCCTCTCCCTGCAGCCTCGTCTCCCAGCAGAAGCAGAGCCCGAGAGGGCTGGGAATGGGATGGAGTCCGGCAGGAGTCGGGTCAGGGCTGGGAATGGGATGGAGTCCGGCAGGAGTCGGGTCCGGGCTGCGATGTGTGCTGAACGCATCCCTTTGCTGCTGTGGAAGAACCAGGCTGCAAGGCGTGTCTGTAGGTGGCCCCACAAGCGCCTGCACCCAGGTGGCCCCTCTGCTGACCTCACAGAACGGCCTGCCCGTTCCCTCGTGGCAGGAGAGCTTGCACGTGGGTCATCGTGGCTCGGCCTCTTTTCCTTTCTGAGCCATTTGCTTTTAAACAAAACTAAAGCTACAAAGGAGACAGAAACAAAGAACACAGCCCAACTCAAGCCTCTGACTCCTGAGGAGCTGGGTGAGCCCTCCAGACACTCTCCTGTGTGGCAGATGTCACATTCCTGGTTGCAAGACTGTCCCTCCCCTCTGGGGCACATGCCATTTATTTGGTTAAGAAATAACACATTCTGGCCGGCCCGGTGGCTCACGCCTGTAATCCTAGCACTCTGGGAGGCTGGGAGGCCGAGGTGGGCAGGTCACTCAAGGTCAGGAGTTCAAAACCAGCCTGAGGAAGAGTGAGACCCCATCTCTACTAAAAATACAAAGAAATTAATTGAACAACTAAAAATATATAGAAAAAAGTAGCCGGGCATGGTGGCACATGCCTGTAGTCCCAGCTACTCAGGAGGCTGAGGCAGGAGGATCGCTTGAGCCCAGGAGTTTGAGGTTGCTGTGAGCTAGGCTGACACCAGAGCACTCTAGCCTGGGCAACAGAGTGAGACTCTGTCTCAAAAAAAAAAAGAAATAACACGTTCTGTTGTGGGTGTGCTGAGAATTTCTTCATGAATGGGGATTGAATTTTATCAATGATCTTTTGGGAGGGTCATTTCATTTTTCTCCTTTCATTTGTGATTGTGGTAAATCCCACTGACAGATTTCCTGGTGGTAGACCAAAGGTGGCCTTGTTAATTACTAGCTAACAAAGGAAAGTTAAACTATCTAACAGAAAGTAAGAGAAATAAACTCACAGCACATAGTTGTCCCTTTGAAGAGAAAACTCACAACACTACTGCCCTTTGTTTTGTTTGATTAAACACCTGGAGCTCAACTCATCTTTGAGCCAAATTTGTTACCTTTAAGAGTTTTGTTTTCACAGCCTGGAAGCACCCTAAGCAGACAGCAGGGGAGCAAACTCCCCCACCGTCCGCCCAGCTCTCGTCAGCACCAGATTCCAAGGACCTCTGACAAGATGGCCTCACAGAGAAAAGAAAAAATAAAATAAAATAAAAGCACATGCAGCATTTTCACAGCCGTTTTCACTATCAGTTGGCTGCAGGTACTTTTTTATTTCTCTTTGTCCCCAAATGAAATGCCAAACCTTCTATCCTCTGCACTGACACTTTCAGTTCCTTCTCTCATGTCATGCCCTTCCCACCTTTGGGAAGTGAAATACACTTTCTTTACTAAAAACTATTCTCCATGTGAGAATTCTTTCTCCAATCCTCGCTGAGAGCTCTTCTTCGCGAGTCCTCTCCCTAACATTTTGGTGGCCGATATGGGAAAACTGAGGCACCCTTCTACCTCTGCGCAAGAAGCTCACTCTTCTGCCTCTGTCTCTAAACTGCTCCCTCCCCGGCAGGCGACTCCCAGACACTCTTCTCAGTGCCTTCAATACCCTTCGCAATTCCATGCGTCTCTTGGGCTCTGGACGCACTCATACACTCAAGGCCGAGAGTGGTAGCTTTCTGGTTTGGTCTGGGGTGGGAAACCTGGCGCCGGTCTACCACTCGGGAGGGATGCTTCCTAACCACCCTTCCCCAGGGGGCAATGTGCCTTGGAGGGCCTTATGCCTCCTGCCCCCATCAGTCTTCACTCAGAGTTGGGGACACCTGGCTTTGGGGCAAGATCTCTTGGTCTGAGTCGGAACTCGGGGATGCCTATTTCCTGGCCAGATCTCTAGGTCTCAGTCTGACTCAGATTTGGGGGATGACTGATGTCTGACTAGAAATCCAAAGGTCATCTGAGTTGGGGACACCTCCTCAGACTTCTATTTTCAACATATGACCATCCCTAAAAGGTCCATTTCTTTCTCCTAGTTGCCATCATAGGCAACATTATGTTAAAGGACCAGGAAATGTGGCCTGAGAATGGATCTCTTAATCATAGTGCCATTCTGCTACTTGACCTTCCATTGCCACTAGCTCGTCAAGCAGTCCAAAGTCCCCTGTGGTCCTAGAGCAGAAGGAAGCTTCTCAAACGGTGGCTACTGCAATGAAAGAAGTTTTCAGAGACATGGATGCCCTAGATGCCCTAGAGGCTCAGACAAGAAGACACCAGGACGACACCCTCCTTTAGGAATCGAGCCCTGCCTCCACTATGACTCTGGGTCCCTGGAGTAAGAAATGCCTCAGGAAGTGGCCTCCGCAAGGACCCAAGGCCCATGCCCTCTCTGCAAAAGGGAGGAGCACTGGAAGTGGGAGTGCACTCTCCCTAAGGCAGGGGACTGCACCCGCCTTCCAGAACCAGTGAGCCCACCGAGCCAGCACCCTCCATACCCACAAACCAGGGGGAACTGCTTCAGTCTGATGGACAGACCCCAGCTTTAGAACATGCCCAATGCCGTCACACCAGGATGGCCAAGCTTCAGGTAACTCTCTGCATCACAGCAAATTTATTTTAATAAAACTAGAGCCACTTACTCTATTCTCCCTAAATTTTCAGGGCCTCTATTTCCCTCTCCTGTCTCCATCGTCAGAGTGAAAAGTAAAACACGACCCCCCTGTGTACTCCATAGCTGCTCTGCTCACTTAGCTCAGTCCTTTTAGTGCTTCCCAATCATCCCGACTGGGAAATGATCTTATGGATAAATTAGACACCTAACTCTTTTAACACCACAAGTTTCCTTTTTCACGCTCTTGGAAAAGACTGTGTTCTCACTGACTCTAAATATACCCAACATGTCTTACACCTTTACACAGCTGTTCAGAAAAACAGGGACTTTTCACTGCTCAAGGTACTTCTGTCAAAATATGTTAACCTTATCACATAACTCATACAGGCAGCTCCTCTCCCCATGTGGAGAGTTCTAGAATTACTATTTGGGTTGAAAGCCTCAACCATTTGGGAGAGTAGGACTATTTGCATTTGACACTCCCTGGCTTATTTGTTAAGCCACGGTCCATTTGGTGTATGTCATGTGTACACACTGGGAATCTTCTGACTCTGCTGTTTGGGCTTTTATGCTATTTGGACCTAGGACTGGTCATTAGCAATATTGGTTGCTAATTGGTTGGTCTGAGATAAGATTCTTAAAAACTTCTCTGATGTAGTGTTCCCAGACTTGGGTTTGAAACGTCTTAAATTTCTGTTCTTATACACATGTTTAAACTGATTGGTTGGTCTGAGATAAGATTCTTAAAAACTTCTCTGATGTAGTGTTCCCAGACTTGGGTTTGAAACGTCTTAAATTTCTGTTCTTATACACATGTTTAAACTGATGGGTAAAGTACATCAAAAATATCCAGAACTCAAATGGTCAATCTGCCACTATAGGGTTAAAATAAAAAGTTTATGAAGCTCTCTGTCTCTGTTTTCTGGTCTGCCTGCTTGAAACTGCTAAGTTACTGGTGTTGAAGCAAAACTCACTGTCTCTGCTATCATTAACTCAAGGTTATTTGAAGCAGCCAGTTCTGGCAGCAGTGTGAACATTAAAAACTCATTGGAAATTGAAGAGAAAGGTAAAAGAGCCCTTCTGGTTCCCTTTCCTATCCCACCTCTACTCTAACTTTTAAAGACTGTCCATTTGCAACCCCTCCCCTTAATGATGCACATGAACTCTCACAGGCAGGGACCATGCTTCATCCCAGGCCAGCAGGAAGTAATTCCAGAAAATGAGATCTTCATCCAAATTCCCCAGTTTCTGAGTTCATTAAATAGAAATTTTAATTTTCACCAAAGAGAAGGGGGGAATAAAAACAAGGTGGCCTTGTTAATTAACTAGCTAACAGAGGAAAATATACTAACAGAAAGTAAGAGAAATAAACTCACAGGACATAATTGCCCCTTTGAAGAGAAAACTCACAACACAACTGCCCTTTGTTTTGTTTGATTAAACACCTGGAGCTCAATTCATCTTTAAACTAAACTTCTTATCTCTAAGAGTTTGGTTTTCACAGCCTCAAAGTGCCCTAAGCAGACAGCAGGGAAGCGAACTCCCCCCACCATCCCCCCAGCTCTGGTCAGCACCAGATTCCAAGGACCTCTGACAAGATGGCCTCACAGAGAAAAGAGAAAAAAAAAATGAAAAGCACATGCAGCAGTTTCACAGCAGTTTTTTGTGATCAATTGGCTGCAACCACTTTTTTCTTTCTCTTTGCTCCTAAATAAAGACCTCAAAACCCCTATCCTCTGCACTGACACTTTCATTTCATTCTTCCATGTCATGCCCTTCCCACTCTTGGGAAGTAAAATAAACTTTCTTTCCTAAAACTATTCTACTGCTGATGTGAGAATCCTTTCTCCAGCCCACACCATGCACTCATGAGTCCCACCCTGACAGTAGCCTGCCCTGATATTCCTGAGTATACCAGACTAGGTGAGGCCTCTGGCTGGATGCACTCCTGCATTCAGCTTGCCAATCTTTCATTTAGCTTATTTTTCATCTTCATTAATAAATCAAATGGGCCTATGGCTTCCTTCTTCATGTTATCCTGTCCAGGTTTGAATATTGAGGTTATTTAAGAGTCATAGGATGAGACTTCCTCTCCTCTGTGTAGGATGATGACTCACCGAAGGCTGCCAAAACCTGCCAATAAAACAGTGTGGGTCCGGAACATTTCCAGAGTAGATCTTTTTACCACTGACCTATGTTAGGTCTGTTCTCTTCCCTTTGAGTCAATTTGGGTAATTTATATTTTTTCTAGTAAATTGTATGTTTTATCTAAGCCTTGAAATTTATGATAAAAAGCTGTTTGAGGTATTTTCTTGATTTAAAAAAAATCACCTACTGCATTTGTAGCGGTGTCTCCTTGCTCACTCCCAGTACTATTTGTGCTTTCTCTCTTTTTTTCTTGGCAATTCAAAGTAATTATGTTCCCTTTCTCTACTTGCACAGATAGAAATGAGGACTCCTTAAGCAAAAACTTCAGTGGACATATCTGTACATTAATAGCAGCCAACAAAACCCTATCACCAGCCCCACACACCCCATTTCTAACCCTCCTCCAACTCCGCCCTCTGCAGGGGCACAAACCCGGCCCCTGGCTCAAGGGATGTGCCTGGTTCTTCAGGTGGGCAGAGCCTGGTTCACTGCAGATGCACTGCCCGCCTCTGGGGGGACTGCCTTGCCTGTCCTTGAGGTGGCTGTGGAGATACAGCAGAAATCTGGGGAGCTGAGACCTTCAGATAACACTCCCTAAGGCAGGCCTGAGCGCAGGTGCCCAGAGGATAAGAACAGCTTCTACTTCTTCGGCACAGGCTCTGCACATCAATTGTTTTTATTCCTCACACACCTGTGAGGCAGGGATTTGGCCCCTTTTGTGAGTGACAGGCTCAGAGTCACTGAGAAACCTGCCCAAGGTGCGGGAGCCAGTGAACAGCAGAGCTAGGCTCGGAGCTGGTTTGCCCTGATCTCCTCCCGAGCCACAACAAGCTGCCCTCACAGGGACCCAGGGCCACACCCTACATAGGTGGGACAGCTCCTTGATCCTGCCAGCTGATCCTGACAGAGCCTCCCCGAGCCACCTGTGCTCCCCGACCAGACAGCCCTGTGCCAGTGGCCGCTCTCCCCACGCTTCCTTCTGTGCCTCCATCCCAGGCAGCAGCCCTCACCTCCTCCAGCTCTGAGTCCACCCCAGGCCTGGCCACCCCGAATCCCTCGCCCCCTCCTCCCAGCCGGCCAGCCTTCCCTGGTCCCTATGTCTGGCATGCCATGCTCCCTGGCGGCTTTTATGCTCCCGAGTGTTTAAGGACCCTCATCTGATGCCCTCCCAGGCTGCTCTCCCCTCACTCCCCACAGGACAGCGGGAGCACTGGGCTCCAGGCCCTGGGACTCGCATGACACACACACACTTCCCAGGCCTTCAGGCGCTCCTCTGCACCTCTGCCCACAGGACCCCAGAGAGGACAGAGAGGAGGAGCCGTGGGGGGAGGCCGCCTACTGGTGGTTAGTGGTCTCAAATACGAATGGATTCAGTGCAGAGCTCTTTAAGTTTTCAAAACCAAGTTTTCTTTCTTAACCTGAACGTCTCGATCCACTCGAGTCAAAGAGGGCAAGCGCACGGCTAACATCTGACCTCCACGCTCTACCTGGATCACGACAAGGTGTATCTCCAGCTCTGCGATTCTCCGCCCGATGCAGCTGTCCCAGAGTTGTCAACTCTGCCCGGGTTTCCTTTCGGCAACCAGCGCCCTGGCCGAACTCCTTGGCCCGAGGGAAGTTCTCATCCTTGTAGGATGTGGCATGGTGGCAGAGAGCCAGCTGGGTCTGAGGAGACCACGTGCAACAGAAAAAGAACAGAGAAGGGGGTGGCGCGAAAGCAGAGCAGTGGCCAGCGCCCTGCTGGACAGGCCACCCGAGACACCCCGCCGGGGCAGCCGCTGAGGTGCACACACCCCGACAGCAGCCCTCCCGCCCGCATACTGCACAGCCCGCTGGCGCGGGCGCTCGCAAGGCCAGCCAAGCCCCTCAGAGCCTCCCCAGAAGGGCCCCTGCAGCTGCCCCAGGGCCTGGCCCTTGGGCTACAGAATACCTGCTTTGTCTCAGAGCAGTAAGATCACACAATGCCCTCCCTTCTCCTAAACCTCACAGTCATCACGAAATACACACTGAGGAAAAGGAGCCCTGCTGATCTTTGCTTAGGGACAAAGTCTTCCTAAATGTGCAGGCAGGTTTCCTTCCAATCCCACCACCACTGCAGCCCAGTCCAACCCAACGGCCACCAAACTCACGCCTTGGGGATCAACAGCCGCCAATAACCAGGTCTTCCTGGGTGACTCGGCCATTCCCAGGGAGCACTGTTGACAGCCTGGAAAGAGCGACGGGAACAGGAATGGAGTGGTGACTTCAAGAATATTTTGTTAAACATTTAGAAATCTGAATATATTGCCATTTCCACTAAAAATTATTAAAAAGTAACACATGGTACAGTTTCAAGGAAACAATTTTGCAAGGACCTCTGTGGTTCCTTAGACAGCTATGCCAGGCGGTATTCCTAGGTGTGCAGAAAGGCACCAAAGCCAAAAGAGTTTGCAAAACACAAAGAAAATCTCTAACACGCCATTGTATTCCCAAGGGGGAAAATTCTGTTTCTGACATTTTATGTGACTATGGAACCACTTTATCAAGGCTTAGTTCACAGGACTTAGGGGCCTGTGAAATACATTTGGAGGAACAGTACCTCAGCTACGGGATTGTCCCAGAGAGCTGACCCCAAGAAGACTGAGTAAGACTTGTGAAGTAAAATAAAATTTGAAGGCTCACCCCCCTACACACCAGCTGACTGAATGAAGCCCCTCGTGGCCAAAGGAATATCCTAAAATTAAATTGTCTGCCAGGAGGAGGGAGGTCAGACAGGCCTTATGCCCCCCTCCCTTCTTGGGGACTTCCTTTGTAACCCATTAACAGGCCTAAGGGTCTGCAAGACACACCTGCAGGTCCTCAATTTACACAACGAATCTAAGTCCTGTGGCTCATCTCCTTTTGTTAAAACATTCCAAGCCTTTAGACAAAGCTTCCTGTCTTTAACCAATTACAAGCCAAAAAATCTTTAAACCCATCTACAACCCATAAGCCCCCCCTTCAAGATGCCCCACCTTTTTGGGCCAAACCAATGTATGCCTCCCACGTATTGAATGATGGCTTTAACTGTAACCCAGATCTCCCTGAAATGTATAAAAACCAAACTAACCCAGTCACATGGAGTCCACTTGCCCAAGTCCTCTTGGCAGTGACTCTGGGTCATGGAATAAATCTCTTTAAAATCATTTTACACAGTTTGGCTTTTTTCCGTTGACAGACTTTAGATGACAAACACCAATAAGCCACACAGGCAGCTCCACTTCTTTCTTGCTTTGAGATTAAACCTCCTGCTGCAGATTGAGGATGCAATACAAATTGAAGCGTCGGTATCAAATCGGGTCTGCCAGCATTCTTTCAGTATATACTACGGAAAATAACCCTTGCTTTGTCCTGCACCTCCTCATGAGGCATGCTGCGTTTAGGGTCCCTGAACTGCCAAGGGGAAGAAATTTCACTGGCCCCCTAATCTCACCTCCCACTCAACTCATCTCCCACCCAGGACAGCCCATATGCCCCTGCTCTTCTCACTGCCACTAAAGCCTGTCCAGGAGTCAGCAAGCCTCACCGTGTGGCACCCCGACCCTGACAACGCCATTCACACGGAACTGCCCAGTTTTGTCAGCAGGCCTGGAAATTAGCCAAACAGCCCAGAGTATTTTCCTGACAAATCAGTCTTGTTCTGTGTTATCTTCAGAGAAACAAGGTCAAAGGGTGGTGGCCCACGAACATATTGGGAAACACTGGATGAACCACTTGGCTAAAGCAGGGACAACGTTAAACGACTGCTCCAAAGATCTCTATGAAGGACAATGAATACTTCAACAGCAGAAAGGCCATCAGAAACAGCAAAAGCAGAGAGGAAATAAGAATAGCCCTGAATATCTTCTTCCTAAACAGTGCAGCACTGAGGCAGTTGGAGGGTCTGTTACGATAAAGAGTCAGAGACTTCCAGGCCACATTTTGTTGACACAGACTTGGGTGACCCTTTAACCTCAGGGTTTCCTTAAGGAGAGCTCTGACTAGTGGGACTCTGGGGACATCTGCTGCTGTTGGAACATGCCTCTCCCCCAAATTCTTGACTGTCTCCTGGTACACCATCTGCTGCACTTCGGGTGCCTTGCCAGGAGATACACTGCCCAGGACAATGCGAACGACGTCTAATGAGAGAAAGCGGCAGACACGGGCACATTGGTGAGTGACACCAGGGAGCTAAACAGCAAGTGATGTCCATACGAATTCCCCTGGGAATATGCGCAGGTGCAAAATCACTCACACCCTGCTATTGCAGCGCTTAATGTCTAACCAGAACAGAACACTCTTTTTCTTAATTCATGCCAGGAAAACCAAATCACTATTTTTGGGAAGTAACGGCAACTCTATGATTCAAGTGCTCTTGTAATGAACAGACACAGAAAAATTATTAGGGGACTTCTTTTGATCACTTAAGAGCAAAAAGCTTCCTCTTCAGTGGAATCTGAGGGATGCGGGGCAGATGCTGGTCGATCCTGGAAGTCCTGCTGGAACTCCATGCAACCTCTTTTCAGGGGTCACCCATCTTTTGCTAGAAAGGGCCTTGGGCTGCCCACTGGCATCCCACAGGCCCAAGATGGCTGGACTCACCCACCCCAGCTTCCCTGATCTAGAGGCTGGGCATGTGCAGAAGATCATTAGTTAGCTAGCCATCACGCCTGTGCTTTTATCAAGTAAAGTGAACAGAGAGTGCTTAAATAGCTCATTTGTGAAAAGCACTGTCATTTTTCAAACACCACTTAGACTAAAGAATCGCATTTCCAGTTATTGAGAATAATTCTATTTTATTTTCCTAGGTCCCAAAATTTTCACTAAAATCGATGCTATCATTTGTGGGACTATATTTCACTCTGTCGTAAACAAGGACATTCCATAATATAAATGCCCCTTCTTGCATCAAAAAACCCTAACTTAAGTAGGCCATATTGATAGCATTTCCTTATAATGGATGCTACATGTTTATAGAGGGTAGGCTCTCCTATAATATATAATATATAACATAACGTGCAAGCTCTTATAAATGACAAGGAGGTCATTCAGATGCTTCCCACTAGGAAAACAGAAAAATTTATGCTAAAATCGCATTTTTATGGAAAAACAAAATGTGATACACACACACAATGGAATACTATTCAGTAACTAAAAAAATAATCAATTACTCTTATGTGCTACCACGTGGAAGACTCTCAGTCATTCTGCTGAGTGAAAGAAGCCAGATGCAGCAATACATACTATATAATTCCATTTACATAAGCATTTAGAAAAATGTGGTGGTGGTTTCATAAATGATTGTATCTGTCAACAGTCTGTATCGAATTGTACAGTTTAAATGGATGCAATTGATTGTGCATAGATTATACTGCAATAAAGCTGATGTTTTTAAAAGTCAGGATGAAGTCATAAATATTTGTCTCCAGGCTTCCATCCTAGGATGCTGAAAGAGAACAGAGCCCTTCTGAACTCGCTGTGATGCTCTTAGTAACCACCAGGGGGCAGTAGGTTCAAATGTGTCCAAATCTGCCATGCCGCAAGTCACAAGGCTCCTCCATCCGGGTGGTGACTTAATTTGAACAAATCCACACCATCCATCACATTTACATAGTAAATTAGAATTTTCGTTGATTGTCTCATTCGGTTTATAGTTAATTTATATATATTTTGTTTTATTGTTGTAGAAGATCCGTAAGAATAAAGAGTTTAGGCTGGTCGGGGTGGCTCACACCTGTAATCCTAGTACTCTGGGAGGCCGAGGCGGAAGAATCACTCAAGGTCAGGAGTTCAAGACCAGCCTAAGCAAGAGTGAGACCCTGTCTCTACTAAAAATAGAAAGAAATTAATTGGACAACTAAAAATATATAGAAAAAATTAGTGGGGCATGGTGGCACATGCCTGTAGTCCCAGCTACTCAGGAGGCTGAGGCAGCAGGATTGCTTGAGCCCAGGAGTTTGAGGTTGCTGTGAGCTAGGCTGATGCCACGGCACTCTATCCAGGGCAACAGAGTGAGACTGTCTCAAAAAAAAGTTTATACTTTTGCCTTTACATGTTTAAGTGACATTGTAATAAAAATAATATGTCAACGCTGGGGGGAGGGTGGTTATCTCTTTAAAATGGAGGCCTGTGTCTTATTTAAGGTCAGGCAGCACTGGTGCGGAGGAAGAGCTTCCAGGTGAGGAGCCTGGTTTGGTTTCCACACCTTTGAACAGAGGCAATGACCCGCCACGGAAGGAGCTGGGATGGGCTGGGTGCGTGTAGACAGCAGCCCTGGTCTCCACCTCCCGCCCAGACCCTCCACAGTTATGCTGACTTATAAAATGAATTGAGGAAGAATTGAATGAATTGCTGGCTTTATCAAATGAATTCTGTGGCCTAGAATATTTTAAATGATAAATAATAAGGTTTCTAATGTCTATGCCCTCTTTATATCTGACGCTATGAAACAATGGACAAAATGTTTACAAGTCAGGAATGATTTTTGAACTTCAAAACTTAAGCCAGGCACAGCAGCATGCACCTGTAATCCCCGCTACTTGGGGAACTGTGGAATAGTGGAATTGTGTTTATACTTTTCACAAATCATTGTGCACCTTAATTATACATTTTACATAGTAATGCGCCGCTTAACAATGTTTCTATCAATGATGGACTGCATATACAACAGTGGTCCAATGAGATTATAAACCATATTCCCACTGTTCCTTTCCTATGTTTCGGTGTGTTTAGACACACAAACACCACTGTGTTCCAGCCGCCCACAGGGTGTGGCACAGTCACGTGCCATGCAGGTGTGCGGCCCAGGAGGCCACCCCTATAGCCTGGGTGTGCCGCAGCGGCCCTCTAGGTCTGTGTGGGTGCACTCAGACGGCTCCTCGCCGCCTTTCTCAGAACAGACCCCCGTTGCTGAGCGGCGCGTTGACTGTATATGCAGCGGCTCCTCCTGGAGACCCCCGGTGGCGAAGCAGGCCGAGCACAGACACGCACAGGCTGCTTAAAGTACCTGCCTTAAAAGCAGACAGCTTCCGCCAGGTTACGAGGCTTGTTGAGAGGCAGGTCCCCACGGGCTCGCCGGTCACACCGGCCAGCAGCACCTCGGTCACGCCGGCCTAGCTCTCCTGGAGTGTCAGCGCCTGGCTAAGGAAGAGGTGCCCCTGTCACCCTCTGGCCTGGGTCTGTTTGGTACTCTATGTCCCTCAACTTGTTGTCACCATGAATTTGGCCTGTTTGAAAACAGTATTTCTTTAAAAAAAAAAAAAAAAAAGTTTGGGTTGGGAATAATCTTTTCAGTCTCGACCCCCTTTGTCCTCCCAGTAACTTAGCCACACTAGTGGCAGGTGGCAGGTGCTGAGGGAAACCCGTACTGATAGCATCATCACCCACGGACATTCACCTGGTGTGTGTCACAGCTAGCATATCTGTTAAAATAAAAAATGTAAAAATGAAAATTAGATCACATTACTTGTAGACACAACCCACATACTTTTGCTTCTTTGAAAAACATCTGAGAGTCATGAGTCCAAATAACAACCTGTAACGATGTCTGGGCATCCTCTGCCACAGTCTGGAGGAGGCAGACACATGACACACAGAAAAGTTAGGTCAACCTCTTACACAGAAGGTGCCCCTAAATTCTTCTCTTACTGAATTTGAAGAGTCCATCCTAGGACCTGCAGAACTCTCGCCAGGGTTTGGGATGAAGGGGTGCCGCCATCTGGGGATGGCGCCCGCACACATGGAGGTCTTGAACACGCAGAACGTGAGCTTCAGGGCCTCCATGCTCTCCATGCTGGGCGGCCCGCTGCTTTCCGGGCAGACCAAACGACTCTCACACAGGATAGTGGCCACTCCTGGGGGAGAAACAGATTTTAAAAGCCCTCTTCTTCTGGATTATTTGCCATATCAACATGTACTATCTGGCCATAAAAGTTACTTTCTTTTATTATTATTATTTTCTAATTGAGATAGGGTCTCACTATGTTCCTTAGGCTGGACTTAAACTCCTGGGCTGAAGCGATCCTCCTGCCTCAGCCTCCCAAGTAGCTGGGACTACAGGCATACGCCACGACACCCAGCTAAAAGTAACTTTCAAATGCAGTCTAGGCTGGGCACAGTGGCTCACTCCTGTAATCCTAGCACTCTGGAAGGCTGAGGCAGGAGGACTGTCTGAGTTTAGGACTTCAAGATCAGCCTGAACAAGAGTGAGACCCTGTCTCTACTAAAATTAGAAAAAATTAGCTGGGCATGGTGGTGCACACCTATAGTACCAGCTACTTGGGAGGCTGAGGCAGGAGGATCACTTGAGCCCAGGAGTTTGAGGTTGCTGTGAGCTAGGCTGACACCACTGCACTGTAGCCAGGGCAACAGAGCGAGCCTCCGTCTCAACAACAAAAAAAGCAGTCTAGGTGCTTTCATGAGTAAGGCCTCACCACTCTGAGGTTCCCTCTGTGTCCTGAGCTACAGGGAGCCGGGCACCGGGGGTTGCTGGCTGGTGCTGTGCAATGTGCACTGTGCAAGCAGGCCTCCACAGCCCTGTGAGACACGCATAAGAAACCCACTCTTAGCCAGTCATGGTGGCTGACACCTGTAATCTCTGCATTTTGGGAGGCCAAGGCAGGAGGATTGTTTGAGCCCAGGAGTTTGAGACCAGCCTGGGCAACACAACAAGAACCTGTTTCTACAAAAAATACAAAAAGTAACTGGGTATGGTGGTGTGAGCCCATAGTGCCAGTTACTCAGGACATCTGCAGGCTGAGGCAGGAGGACGGCTGGAGGCCAGGGGTTGTGATCACACCCTGCACTCTAGCCTAGGCAAAAGAGCGAGAACCCTTCTCAAAAACAAACAAAAAAAATATATATATAAAGAAACCCACTCTCAGTAGGAGATGAGAGGACTCTGGGAGTTTATGTAGCGGCTAAGGCTGTGCAAGAGGAGGCGGGAGGTGGCGGGGACAGGACTGAAGTCAGGTCGGAGACAGCGAGCCTCCAGGGAGGGCGTGACCCCAGCCTGCCACCACTCTGCTCCCCACCCTCCTCTCTGGAAGGAGAAAGCAAAACCCCAACAGAGCCACCAGGGATCACCTTTTAGCCACTGGCCAACCTCGGGGAACTGAACTGTGGCACCTCCGAGCCAAAACAGGGGAGCCCAGGCCCAGAGAGCTGCAGGCCGAGGACGCGTATCAGGGGACCGCGGGGGCAGCGCTGCCCACGCTGGCCCCGTGCTTGCCGTCCGCTCCTCACCATCTGGGACTAGGTTCGGAGAACATTAATATTAGAACTCTGAAATGTTAGCCTAATTTGAATTTGAAAGTAAACTCATTTTTAAAAAAGATGAGAAATCTGTTAGAGGACCCTCCAAGATATATTTTTAAGAAAAGAAAAAAAGCAAGGTACAGGACAACTGTGTTGCTGTCTATTTCTTAAAAGTAAAAGAATATTCATGTGCATATTTCCTTGCGCATGCATAAAACATTTCCTTGCACATATATAAAATACCTCTTGACAGATACATCAGAAACTGGTGGCCTTAGCCACATTCAGTAAAAAGAGAGAATTTTCACTGAATACTTTTAGTTTCGATATTTGAACATGAGAATGTATGACCCACCCAACATGAATTTAAACATTAGGACGACTTGTAGTAGATGCCTTCTAACCTTTGTTCCTCTTTAAACATTATGTTAGCCCGGGCGCGGTGGCTCACTCCTGTAATCCTAGCACTCTGGGAGGCTGAGGCGGGAGGATGGCTTGAGGCCAGGAGTTCAAAACCAACCTGAGCAACAGCAGGACCCCATCTCTACAAAAAAAATAGGAAAATTAGCCAGGCGTGGTGGCGCATGCCTGTAGTCCCAGCTACTCAAGAGGCTGAGGCAGGAGGATCGCTTCAGTCCAGGAGTTCAAGGTTGCAGTGAGCTACAATGACACCACTGCATTCTAGCCTGGGTGACAGAGCAAGACCGTCTCAACAAAACAAAAGAAGATTATGCTAAAATAAAATATGTAGTAATTGGGAACATGGATGATTGAGTTAAAAGACCTAGATTTGAAACTAACTTTCTGCCTCTAAAACAGGCTTGGGGGGGAGCCTTGAGCAAACTCTTTTTTAAGTCCCAGGTACTCTTATTTACCTCATTGGGGAAACTGGTGATTGTATTTCTCCCCAATTCATATATCAATATAAGGACATATGTATCGAAAGAGCCACAAACAGAACCTCTAACCCGCAGGGATTTGGACCAGGAGATTGCTAACACTCCAGGGGCTCCTCCCTGCCTGGCACTGTGTTGATGATCATTTGGATGGCAGACAGGTGTCCAAACTTAATAATCACAGTCTGCTGTGAGACAGGAAAGTCGTTGCATGGCTCAGTGCTGGAGGCTCTGAGGCGCTATTCAGGGGGTTTTCCTTCGGGTTTCCCCCATCCACGGACAAGGGCTCTGTGAGCTTCAGCTTCTTTGGTTGTCACTGAATGGATACCTAAAGCCACACAGCACTGCTTGAGAGAGCGCCTACCCACCCTAGAGACAGTATGGCCCGCACCTCCTGCTGGCGCACTCTGTCACCGAGGAGGAGGGAGTGAGCCCCAGCAGGCCCTGCAGCCCTGTGTTTGGAGAGCACACAAAGAGCCATTTGACACCATTCCACTGGGGTTTCAGTGCATTTTTAAAAGCTAGTTTTGAGGAACCCACACTGGGGGAGGGGGGCCTCCCTGAGTACCCCCTCCAGCCTGTGGCTTGGCCTGGCCCCACATACTCACGCAGAGATGAGCCCAGTGGCTCTGCCCCGCAAGTCTCGGTACTCCTGCCAGGACTCCATGTTGGCTCTCTGGGGCGCAGCCCCCTCAGCCCGGAGCACCGGAGCCACCATGTCTTGGTCTGCAATAGATACTACAAACTGAGGACCAAAGGGAGACTTGAAGATTTTTCCATATTCCCATGTGTGCTCCTGCTGCAATACCATGGATAAATCAAAAAAGGAAAAAATACAGATATGATATACCTTTAACATAAACATACTTGTGTGTTGGGGGAACAGAAAAGTGGGATGGAGGGAAGCCCTATTACACAAAACTGAACCAAAGTAGTAACTTTACATGTTCCTGAGATAGACTTTCACAGAAACATATTCATAGAAGTCTTATTCTTTAGCGATCTGTTCTTGCAACTACCTTAGCTGTGTGGAGCAACAAGAGAGATAGGTCATTATGGACAGAGGTGAACCCAGAGACAACCAGGCCCCCACCTGCCAGCCCCTTTCGCACAGCCCCAGCAGCTCTGCATAAGCAGTGCCCACTCTGCTCTGCAGAGAGCCCTCCATGGGCAATCTGTAATGAGCTTCTAAAAATGGTGCCCTGCGAGACAATGAAGGAAAAGGCATCTGGATTGGAAAGGGAGAAATAAAACTGTCTTTATTCACAGATGATGGGATCTTACCTATAGAAAATCCTAAGGAATTCACCAAAAAACTATTATAACTAATAAACAAGTTCAGCAAGCTAGCAAGTATAAAATCAATTACAAAAACCAGTCGTATTTCTATACACTAGCAATGAATAATCCAAAATGAAAATAAGAAAATAATTTTATTTATAATACCATCAAAAATAATAAAATGCTTAAGAATAAATTTAACAAAAGTACAAGGGCGACTTCTGGGCCTCCCCCCCTCTTGGGGTCGTAGAACCTCGTCCATGAGTGTATAATAAAGCCACGTGGTTTGGCCCCCACTCTTTCTCTCTCTCTGTCTGTCTTTTCTTTTCGCAGCTGCGGCAGAAAAACCTTACACTGACCTCGAGCAATCTGCCTGCTAAGGCCTCCCAGAGTGCTAGGATTACAGGCGTGAGCCACCGCGCTGGGCCAGAACTGACAACTTTTTTCAACAAGAAAAAATATGAAAACCCATGGACAATCCCAAATATGTTGTCAATGACAAGAATTGGCTTGGCCCCAGTTCTGGGCTATTTGATTATTGAAGAAGATTTTAATATTGCACTAGGAGTTTTTGCTTTAGCTGGGCTAACTGATTTGTTCCACTTACTTATATGATAATTTCAAGAGATGTAATGTTGATTGCTGCTGTTTTTTATGTCAGATAGCGAACTCTTCCAACACCGCGAACACTTGCTAAGTATTTCAACCCTTGCTATGCTACTGCTAGGTTAAAACCAACATTCATCAGCAAGGTAAACACAGCAGTCCAGTTAATCTTGGTGGCAGCTTCTTTGGCAGCTCCAGTTTTCAATTATTCTGACAGCATTTATCTTCAGATGCTGTGGTGTTGTACAGCCCTCACCACAGCTGCATCAGCTTATAGTTATTATCATTATGGTCGGAAAACTATTCAGGTGATAAAGGGCTGATGAAAGTCATCCATCACCATTAGCAAGGAAACAGAATACGTCATCGGCAGCAGGGCCCGTGGAAATCTACAGGAGTTTCCTAGTTTTGGTGTTCAGTTTGTAGAAGGACTTGTCAGAACAAACCATGTCATCAAAATTTAAGTAATGTACATTGAAAATACGCTTGATCATGTGATCATGGGCATATGCAGAATTTTCAATGTATTTTTAAATGCAAATAAAACTACAATTTAGAATTTTCATTCTTAGGTTTCTTGATCAACATAGTTCAATTATTCTAATTATTGTCAGCCATTTTTATATGGTTTTTGAAAACGTACTCCAGAGCCTGGAAACTGAAGAATTGACACCTCTCTTAAAGCACTAAGGAATTTCCTGGGTTTAAGCATCTATCCTACACAACTTGGCTATATATTTTTTTGTTTGATTTTTAGATCTATGCATACATTAACAGTTCATGTGGTTAACATTTGATCATTTAGAATAATGAAAATGGAGTTAGCATAACTGGATGAAGTAAAGTTGTAAAGGGATTTAAAATGCAGTACGTTTTGAAAATAATAAGATCAAACAAAATAGAAGGTGTTGAAGTTCATGTTCAGTAGTCTTCCAGCCTCTCAGGTACTAACAGTGTATGTATCAGGACAGCAAGTAACAAAGGCAGTTGAAATATGTATGAGAACACGTCCATTAGCCTTTGCAGCTAAAGCAGTGAGTTACATCGTGCCGTCCCTGTTTCTAGCGTACCAATGTTTGTTTGATATTGGAACCTGTACTCATATATTGTGTGAATAATATGAAGCTGTCTGTATATTTTTCAAAAGTTTTTTAAACTTTGGGGAATCTTCTTTTGTTAAGAAGTTAAGGAATAAAAGAGCTGGAAAAAAAAAAAAAAGAAGTACAAAACTTATATTCTAAAAGCCATAAAACATCCATGAAAGTTAGTAAGTCCTAAATAAGTGGCAAGACATCCCATGTTCATGGATTGGAAGACTTAATATTGTTGAGATAGAAATACTCCTCAAACCTATCTATAGATTCAGCACAATTGCTGTCAGAATTCCAGCTGGCTTATTTGTAGAAATCAATACTATGATCCTAAAATTCATATGAAAGGACCCAGAATACCCTAAACAATCTTGAAAAAGGACAAAAAAGTTGGAGGATTCACATTTTCCCATTCCAAAACTTACTGCCAAGCTATAGTAATCAAGACAGGACATTCCTAGCATAACCACTAGAACAGAATTGGGAATCCAGAAGTAAATCCAAACATCTGTGGTCAACTGATTTTCAGCAAGAGTGCCAAGGCCATCTGATGGGGAAAGAACACTCTTAAACAAATGGTGCTGAGACAACTGGATAGCACAGCAAAGAGTGAATGTGTACCTTTTTCTCACACCATATACAAAAATTATCTCAAAATAGATCAAATACCTAAATATACAAGCCAAAACTATAAAACTCTTAGAAAAAAACAGGGGTAAATCATCATGCCCTGGGGTTTGGCACAATGTCTTAAGATACAACTACAAAAGCACAAGAAACAAAAGAAAAAATAAACAACTGGAATTCAAAATTTAAAACTTTTGTGCTTCAAAGGATACCAAGAAGAAAGTGCAGACAACTCCTAGAATGGAAAAAATATTTCCAAGGCAAGTATTCCAAGAAGAAAGTGCAGACAACCCCTAGAATGGAATACGCAAAATGCTCTTCAAAACTCAATAATAAGCCAGCGCAGTGGCTCACGCCTGTAATCCTAGCACTCTGGGAGGCCGAGGCAGGAGGATCACTCAAGGTCAGGAGTTCAAAACCAGCCTGAGCAAGAGCGAGACCCTGTCTCTACTAAAATAGAAAGAAATTAATTGGCCAACTAAAAATATATAGAAAACTGGTGGCACATGCCTGTAGTCCCAGCTACTCTGGAGGCTGAGGCAGAAGGATTGCTTGAGCCCAGGAGTTTGAGGTTGCTGTCAGCTAGGTTGACACCATGGCACTCTAGCCGGGGCAACAGAGTGAGACTCTGTCTCAAAACAAAACAAAACAAAAAAAAACTCGATATTAAAAAATCAAATAACCCAATCAAAAACTGGGCACAGGATTTAAATAGACATTTCTCCAAAGAAGATATACAAATAGTTAATAAGCATATGAAATGACACTCGACATCATTAGTCATCAGGGAAATGCAAATCAAACACATGAGATAGCAATTGATACCCACTAGGATGGCCATAAGCAAAAGGACAGGCAATAACAAGTGTTGACAAGGATGTAGAAAATTAGAACTCTTTTACACTGCTGGTAGGAATGTAAAACGGTGCAGACACTCTGGAAAACAGTCTGGCAGTTTCTCAAAAGGTTAAATATAGAGTTACTATTTGACCTAGCAGTTCCATTCCAAGATATATATCTAGAAATGAAAACACATGTCTGCACAGAAACTTATACACAAATGTCCACAGCAGCATTATTCATAATGGGAAAAAGGTGGAAACAATCCAAGTATCTATCAAGTGATGAATGGATAAGCAAAATGTGGTACACTCACACATTGGAATATTATCTATCTGTAATAAGGAATGAGGCATTGACACATGCTACAACATGGGTGCACCTTGACAATATTATACTAAGTGAAAGAAACCAGTCACAAAAGACCATATATTACATTTATTTGACATGTCCAGAATAGGCCAATCTACAGAAACAGAAAGTAGCTTAGTGGTTGCCTAAGGCTGGGGTAATAGAAGAGTTGAGGGTGATAGCTAAAGGAATCAGGTTTCCTTCTGTGGTCATGAAAATGTTCTAAAGTAGATTGCGGTGATGGTTGTATGCTTCAAATGGGTGAATTGTAGGGTGCGTGAATTATATCTCAATAAAGCTGTTAGAAGGAAGAAAGGGAGGGAGGAATCACAATAAATGTAAATGGACTAAACTATCCAGTTAAAACACAAAAACGGGGGCTTTCAACACGGCTCAGCATGATACAGCCAGGGCTGGGCTGGGAAAATTGACTAAGGTTCTCTTTGGCATCTGCCCACCCTTCTAATCACTCCAACTATCAATCCAAGAAGCAGCAGACCAGACGTTCTGTGGTGTCTCTACTCTTCTGCCCTCAGCTGGAAACTGCTCACTCCTTCTGGAGACCTGGGTGAGGTCCACCTGCCCTGAGGGGAAGACACCTCAGACTCAACCAGAGTTGAGTCAGTCTCCAAGGGGTCACTTCTGCCTAACAAATAAGTGTCACCAAGAGTCAGGAACTATGGGGAAACGGGCCACTCCTCAGACAAACCCAGCTACCAGTGGGTGTAACAGCACAAGGGTGCTGGCGGTAGAAATGACACAGACAGTCTACAGCACTTTCTGGTGTGGACTAAGGGGCAATAGTTGGTCCCAGCACTGGGAGCAGCTGGGACGTGAAAGCCTGAACCTGGGCGCAGAGTTCACAGCTGCATGACCTGGGGAAGTCTGGTTCCTCTGCATCTCGGTTTCCTCACTTGTAAAATAGAGAAATAACAGGACTTGCCTCACACGTAGGACTTGGAACTATGCCTGGCACACGAAGAGAGTCTTAGAAATGTTCATTGTTCTTATTACATTTTATAACCCTAATCTCATTTGACCTCACAATAACTCATGAGATGGATAGAGACTGCTAGTCTCCTTCACAGATGAGGAAACTGAGGTCTAGAGAGAATAACTGACAGCCCAGGGCTCCACAGCTGGCTGCAGAGGGCTAGCATGGGAGGCCAGGTCCCCAGTACCTGGGATCCCGCTGCTCTGCCAGCCTGAACAGCAGCTGGCCATCCCCATTATGATGTCTGCCCTGCCACTAACTAGCTGCATGGCCTTGGGCAAGTCACTTAGCTAGCACGTTGAGCCTTTTCTGTTTGAAAAATGAGCACTGATCAGTATACAAGATCTGTCCAGAAAGTATCCAACCATGTAGTATGAAAAATAAAGACATTTATTGAAGAAGAAACAAGATACAAGAAACACTGTACGTAAGACAATGAAGCCTCAGACCTTTCAAAGTAGGCAGGGACCTCTCACAGTTCTCCCAGCGTCTCTCAACCCAACCCGACCCAACCCGACCCGTACACATTCAATGTTTTCAGGTGTTCTGCTTGTTGCAGGCCTTCCAGAACATGGGTCACTTTCAACAGATTCTTGATCATCTTCAAAGCGTTTGTGCCACATTTTTATTTGCATTGCACTCATTACATCATCCCCAAAAGCCTTCAGAATCATCCAAATCGTTTCCACAGAGGAATGTTCAAGCTTAACACATTTGTTGCAGATTTGTTACTCTAGTCGCCCAGTCACGTTGAACGTGACTGCCACACAGTACACATGCTCGTCTAGCAGACTGGTTCATGAATGCGCATCCCAGTCCACTCTCCTGGGCTGCCAGGTTACACAGATGTCCTGCAAACCGTGCTCGTGATATTAACAATGGCTGCATGCTTCGCAGACAGACCTGGACAGACCTCTGTGTGAAAGACCAAGCCCCTGGCTCAGCTAACTCTGGTGACTACCAGATGAACCAGCTGAGCGCAAGGGGACCAAGTGTGATGTGTGGGGCCACAATGCTCTTCCCTGCAGCCAGCCTCAAGGCAGAGGCACGGCGGGGTGAGGGTGTTATTGGGCCACACCTAGAGGGCACCAAGCACACCTGAAGTCTGGCAAAAGCGTAGGCAACCTCAAGACCACCAAGTACTGGTGGTCCTACCGCCCTTGCGTCCTGGGAGGGGCTGCAGGAAGATGAGAGTCCCCACAAGAGCCGCGTGAGGGTTGGGGCAGTGCCGTCTGGAGAGCAGAGGAGCCAGCGAACCCGGAGAGAGGACAGAGCTGGGAGCGCCGGGTCCGGCACCGCGGGGGTGAGTCCCTGCGACTGCGCCCTCGGCCCACGGCGCGGGAAGCCGTGCAAGCCCGCAGGGGAGGCTGGGCACGCGGCTGCTGGGGGCAGGGCGCAGGATGGGAAACACCCGTCTCCACTGGGACGTGTCCTCATCGGACGCAGGGTAACGGGGCCAGCTCCTCGAAGAACCTGTGCCCACGGAGCCTGTGCCTCGGGCTTACCGTGTGAGGGTAAAAGCAGATGGAAGTAGAGGTGGATAAAAGAAAAATTAAATTTAAGTTTTCAAATCAGGCTGTACTGAACTCATCAACAAGCAATTAACAAAATATTTTCTACTATATTTGAAAATCATCACCCTGACACCTTACGTTCAGAC